AGCTGTTCCCTCTCTAGGCGGTCAGTGTTCAGTGTCACCTTGGGATGTTGTCCTCAGACAATCAGAGCCAGTCCCCCACTTGACAAATAGGGACACTGCCATAAAACTCTCTGGTAAATCTTTCATCTCTAGATAACACAAGCTTTAGAAAGATGAGAATGAAGCTCCCAGTGACTAAAATTCAGCAGGAAAGAAGTAAATTGCCAAAAGCAGCAGCACAGTTTACAGCAGTAATAACAACAAGCTGTGAAATATCTGGTGCAGAGCAGCAGCTTTGGGGTTTTCAGCACTTGTTGATCTCACTGTTTCCATTCAGCCCCACCTGAACTCCACTACCACAGGACCTGTGGCTCTGGTTCCACAAGACAGGAAATCACCTGTTTGCTTCCTACCAGTAAAAAAATACAGCACAAACTAAACAAACCTAAACCAACAACCAGTGTAACTGCATGGTGAGAAATACTGAACCAGTGCACGCCCACTCCTTGCTGGTTCAGATTGGCTTTAGAATCTTATAGCCAGGCAGATTTTGTGCTGGGTCAGGTATCATCCATCTCCTCACAGTCAGCATAAAGACTGTATCATGCCTGATCTGACTTGACAAGATGTAATTGCACAGTCCTGCCAGCTCTTGGGGAAATGCATGGTGCCAGGTATTCCGGTGCTGCACAGACAGGAATTCATCAGGCCAGCCTGCCTTATGGAGTCTAGGTGGCAAGGTGTCTGCAAGAATGTAATTTTCTCTGCAGGCTGAACCCACTGACAGTCCTGCTGACTTGTCAGCTTTGTGTTAAGTCTGTTGAGTCCTTTTCATGCTGTCAGAAGGAAACCTGTCCCATGAAAAAAAAAATCTGATGGAATAAAATTGTTATCGTGTTCATCTTGTCCTCCTACTGCTGTGTGATTTGGATTCATTTTCTCTTCACATTCACCTTATCTGGAGGTTGTGAAAGAAGCTGCAGCAGTGATGTTAGAGAATATTTAAATATGCAGCATATTTTTCAACAGGAATGCAAGCACAACAGACAGGAATTACTGAACAGCAAATTCTTCCCTTTACAGTTCTGTCTGAACATCCCTGTAATAATGGTTTTGCATTAATGCAGCTTTGGCAAGCAGATGGCTTCTCAGCCACCCTGTAAGTTCACAGTAAAACCCTGCTGAGTTCCATGGACAGCATCACCCACCCCTGAAACACTGCCAGAGCTGAGGTAGTGCCTGCCTGCTTTGTGAGAGGCCTTAGCAACACCCCACAACACAGGGAGACATAATGCATTTGCAGTGGAATGAGCAAGGGACACCAGGAAAACTCCTAATTTGACTGCAGATGAAGATCAGTTCTTGGTCTAAGCTCACTAATAAAGTGCCAGAAGAAAGAGGCAGGCCCAGTGCATCTGTGGAATGAAAAAGGGGCAGGAGGGAGGAATCCAAAGTGAGGGTATAATGCTTAACTTAAGTTACAGAATGAGCCTCATGTTTTCAGGTTTTGAACACCTCCAGTTCTGGCTAGAGCCAGGCAAAATGCCCTGAGTTCTCTGTGGCATTGAAAAGCCTTCCAAAAATGAAAGCTCCAAACTAAATATTAAAATATTAATCTAAGACCTTCTTTTGAAACACCTTAATTAATAGCTTGCCCTTAGCCATTTACAGTGTCATCCTGCTATCCAAATGCTTTGGTAACAATCTATTATACACTAAAAGCAAGACTACAAATCAACCCCATGAATCACATCTGTAGCAATTCTCTGGGCACTGTGGATGAAAACACCACCACAGTCAGGGACTCTGAGCAGATAGCTGTAAACAGAGCTCTGTCCCACGTCATGCTGTTTGTTAAGGAATTTTACAGCACTCAGGATACTTTTCCCTCTTTCCCTCCATCACCTAAGAACAGAACACCTACACTCACACCTGTTTTTTCCTGCCAGGTGCCCCCCTACAGAGGAATGCAGCTGGGATCAGTAGCACTGCACACACCAGACTTGTTTCTTGCTCAGCTGGGCACCAACAGGAGAGGCTCCCCAGAGCCAGAGGGACACACAAGGGGAGGGTTTGGGATGGGCTTTTGTCCCAGCATGGGATGTAAACCACATCCATGGTGATGTCTCAGGGCAGCCAACAGCAAGTGTTACTCTCCAGGGCTTTGTTCCCTCTTTAATGGAGATATGCAGGACAGCTGTCCAGAGAATATCTCTGAGCCAGCAAAGAGGCTAGGAAAGAAGGTCTGCTAATCAATCTGGTCATTTAATGAAGCCCACAGGGACATGCAGGACTCATTGTATGTTACTGTAGCAGCTGGGAATACACAGAGGGTCTGAGCAGATATTAATTTCCTTTTCTTGCTGGGTAGAGCAACATTTATTTTTGTTAATAGGGAAAGAGAGGCTCAGTAAATAGATACCTTCTAAGTGCCACTGTGGATGCAGGCTTGATATAGGATAAAAATCATGAGAGCTAAGCAGCTAAAGGTAGTTTTGGACAAACCTTGAGACCCAGGCTAAGGTCAGTCTCCCAAGTCCTCAGTTAATACCAAAACTACAATTACACATTTTTTTTCTGTACCTCCCTTCTTTTAAATAATGAGTTCCCACTTTTGCTAAATCCTTGCAAGGCAGACTGAGTGTCAGGTGCAGACACTTTCCCTAACTCATCCCAGCCCCTGTTAACACAACAGAGAGTGTAACAGTGACTGCTCCTCTACTGTCAGAGGGAAAGCATCCACATGATCTGTGACAGGACATCACTGTAGTTGCAAGGTAGCCTAGAGACCATGACTGTTTTCCATCTGATTCTCCCAAGAAAAAGACTGGACAAAATAGCTATGGTACAATTCAAACATGTGGCAGCTTGACAAGAAAACATCCCAGTCCATGAGATTTTACAAGGTTAAATGCACAAACATCTCCAAATAAAGTCACCCTGACTCACTGCTCCCATGATGAAAAAGCAAGCTGTGTAGCTCTGTGTATGAAGAACAAACTGTCCTGCCATGCCAGATGACTTCCAGCCCTGGCAGAAGTGGACATAAAGTCTGTATATCTCTGTTTAGCAAGGTTTGAGGGGGCATGGGAGGTCCCTGTTTGCACAGCCTTTGATCAGCCTGCAGAGGGACAGCTGACAGCCTGAACCCAGACCAAGTGAAGTGAGGTATCAGCATCGACTTTGTCCTGCTGCCACTGCCCCAGCACAGGTTAGGAGGGAGTCAGCACCCTGATCTTTGCACCATTGGGGCAGTGGAGCAGAGCTCCCTGCAGCCAGAGCAGCTCAGGGTACAAAGCTGAGGTTAGCACCTAAGGTTAAAAAAGGCTGTTAACATCTGAAAGAGAGCAGGAGCAAGTTTATTTCAATTTTTAAAAACTGACTTGGGACTGTGTTTGAGGTCAGACACACGGACTGAGCAAGATATGAAGCTATCAGTATAACATATTAAATGCTCAGCAGGTCTTTGTCAAAGCTACCACTGATTCTGAATTCCCTGAAGTTCTCAGTATCAAACATAGCTGAGCAAAGAGCCAGAGCCCAGCATTGCTCTTGTGAGAGCAGACACTGTGTCCCAATGAGCAGAAGGACACTGGTGGGACAAAGATCTTTCATTTGAGATCTCTGTAGATCCCATGGAAGAGAGCAGGACAGTGTCCACACCTCACACACACCTCACATGCCCACACTCTACCACCCCTTTTTCCTGTAAGCAGCAAACTCTAATTGACCAAAGCAGAACACTGCCCAGCAACAAGACTTTGAAGTTGTGTACAAGTTCTCAGTGGCAAAAAGTTAATACAAATTAGCTGAAGAGAAGGTTCACACAGGCTGTACTCCTGACATGAGAGGCAGGATTTCACTCCAGTTTGCTTAGTCATATGGAAGAAAAAGGATGAAAAAGCAAGATCAGAGCTCAGCTATCCTTCCCTCTGTAGTTCCAGTCTAATGATTGGGATGCACTGGTTGCCCTCTAGGTTTTAGAGGGCACAGAAGGAAAAAAGGAAGAAAAAGAAAGGGGAGCAGGAGGAAAAAGCACCAAACTAATTATTATGTATTTATTCATGAAAGCCAAGATTAAAATAGTATATTAAAGGATTTGAATGCAAATAGCATTTGCTCTGTCCTGATTTCCCTTAACAAAGTGCAGCACTCTGGTGACTCAGATAACCCCAAATATTGCACAGCATAGGAGAGCCTGACAGAGCAGGGGGACAGAACCAACCAGTCTCTCACCAAGACTTTAAAGCATGATAAAAAACCACCACAGAGCTAGGAAAAAATGTAATTTTGTTTCTGTCATTACTATTGTTTTAGGGACTTCTCCACACACTAATTTATCATGCTTAGAGGTGGACCCAGTCCAACACTGAATCCATTATGTTTAGTCCTGAGGCACGTGAAATTTGAGCCCGCTGTTCCTGGCCTGTGCCTGCCTCTGGTGTTCACAGCAATGCTGTCTCTGCTGAGTGTCAGGCTCTTGGCTAAGTGAGCACAAATCATTTGGCTTTGTGCACATGCAGCAGGTATGACAGGATGGTTACTCTGCTAGGGAAGGTTATTTGCATGCTGGGTTCTGAATTGGATGGGATAAAGTTAGTCTTGCACAACAAGACCTGGGATTTATTAAGCACTGGAGATAGGCATCTCAAACCAGTCTGGCTGCAAGTATTGCAATGAGCCAGCTTTCCATGTAGGCTGTGCTGATGGCCAGTCATTCACAAATTAAACCTCTCTTGTGCCACGTACAAGACTTCTGCAGTGAGTTTGAATACAGCAGTTGCTCCTTGATGTGCATTTGAATGAAGATCTGGAGCACAAGTTCAAGACTTCTTTGGATGATCTCTTCATGTGGAGAGGACAAGACCTGTCCTTAACTGTATGGACAGCGCCTCATCTCCTTATCAAGCTACCTGCTCTACTGGGAAGGCCACTTCCTTGCAAGCTTACCCTCAGTTAGGTGCAGGGAGGCTCTCAGCTCCCACATTTGCTGCATCTCTGCTCTTCCTCCCCCCCTGCAGGTTATGACTTCGCTGCCGTACTGGAGTGGTTCGCAGAGCGGGTCGACCGCATCATTCTCCTCTTTGATGCTCACAAGCTGGACATCTCTGATGAATTCTCTGAGGTCATCAAGGCCCTGAAGAACCACGAGGACAAGATGAGAGTCGTTCTCAACAAGGCCGACCAGATAGAGACTCAGCAGCTGATGCGGGTGTACGGTGCCCTCATGTGGTCCCTGGGGAAGATCGTCAACACTCCCGAGGTCATCCGAGTCTACATCGGCTCCTTCTGGTCCCACCCCCTGCTCATCCCCGACAACCGCAAGCTCTTTGAGGCGGAGGAGCAGGACCTGTTCAGGGACATCCAGAGCCTGCCCCGCAACGCTGCCCTCAGGAAGCTCAATGATCTCATCAAGCGAGCGCGCCTGGCCAAGGTGGGTGTGCGCGTGGAAGCCCCGAGCGCTCGGTGTGGGCTGTCTGCAGCTGGCAGCCCATGGAGAAGTGGTTCTGGCCAGTTCAGCTTGCAGAGCTGGTGGATCCTCCTCTTTTTCCATCCCATTTAACTCAGGCTCAGCCCTATGCCAGTATGGGAAGAAAACTCCTTGGTTTGGTGTGTCAGTCATGGCGGGCCATAGTGAGGAAGGTAACTACAGATCAAAGCCGGTAGCACTTGAAGGGATCTAGAAAGCAGTTGCTCTGTGGTAGCAACTTGAGAATTAGGACCAATTCAGTATATCAGAATCATACACCAAGGGAATTGATAAGCTCTAGGTTTTTTACTTAAAACTTTCTTAGCCAAGAGAGATACCTGACTAAGATGGATGCACATCTCCACCACATTTGAGGTGGAGACACAGGAATGATAAATAAGCTTGTAGTATCCCTGAGTATTTGAAATGAACTGAAAGAAGCCCTTAAAATACAGGAAAAAACCCACATCAATTGAGGAAAGAGATCAAAAGATCCCTTGAAAGCTTTCAGTGCAAGGGTCTTCATTTCAAGAAAAAATGCTTGGTTCACCATTGGGAAAAAAAGCCACAATGTTGCGTAAGTTAAGGACTGGTATTTGTACTAAAAGATTGAACCTGTATGTTTGGCCTGGGAAGGGACTGTTCCCTTGAAGGCCATGCCCAGTGGAAGAAAAAAAACCCCACTACTCCCTCCAGAAAGTGCATATGAATGTCACTGTCTGTATGCTCAGGACTACTTGTTTTTGCCTTGTCTCAGCACAGACAGAGCACACAGCTGAGCATTGAGCCCTGGAATGACAATCCATGGGTCCAGGCAAGCTGAGGAGCTGAGCTTGCTCTTCAGGGTGGGACAAGATGGAGGCAAGTTCTGGGCACAGATACTCTGCTGAGAGGAATTTTCTGATGTGCTATTCAACATTTGCCTTCATTCCATATAATTTAATTCCCTTCAGGTCCATGCCTACATCATCAGTTCCCTAAAGAAGGAAATGCCCTCCATGTTTGGGAAAGACAATAAAAAGAAGGAGCTTGTTAACAACTTGGGGGATATTTATGCCCGCATTGAACGGGAGCATCAGATCTCACCAGGAGACTTCCCTAACCTGAGGAAGATGCAGGTAAGCATTGGAATCCTGGCAAACATCCAAGGAAAGAGCATTGGAGTGACTGCAGGGAATACAACAGAGCCATGCAGACATTGATTGTTGCCACCTGTGGGAAAAGCCTGCTCTAATGTTGAAATGTGCCTTAAAATATCTGCAGGCTATATTTGGGCATGAGCACTTCTTACACATAGAGCTCATGTGAGGCATTACAGCTTCACTTTCATTTCTGATATCTTTGCCTTAATAGCCCTTTACAGCAAATGATTTCTTCTGTTTTTCTTTATTTTTAATTCCAGGTTCCATTTGCAGATTTTTCAGGCTTAAGCAATTTATAACAAAAGGAAAGCTGTATCCTGAAAGGGCTACATATGGCACATTCCTCAAGAGCTATATTTGTCTTCTACTTAACTTTTTGTTTCTAGAAGGAGAGAAAGGAAGGTGTAAAAACTTTAAGCCCCTTTTCTATTTTCAGCAGAGAAGCAGGCTTTTTGTTCTGCAGACCAGAGACCTGGCCCAGGGTTCACACAAATCAAAAACTTCAAAGGACCTTGGATCAGAGCCTTGTATTGTACATTCAAGCAGTGCTGGACACTGCTGCATTGCTGTGTGGCTTCAGTCCAAGCAAAAACCTGATATGAGTTCTAGCTCTTGAGGTTGCTATTAGTTACCTATGGAAAACAGCATTTGCCTATTTTTGAAAAAATATTCTCCCTAAATTGTTGGGAGTGATACCTGTGAGGTATAGGAGATCTCCTTCATTGCTTGTTAAAATGTGTGTTAAAAAAACAACCTGTATGAATCCAGTTGGAGTGAATAGTGTGGATTTAATGAGTAGAGGGTGAAAGATAAAGCTGTAGATCTTTCTGCAGCTAGAAGAGAGTTCTCTGCAGGCCCTACTCAAAGCCCTTTTGCTTAGCTGTGAAATTACAGAATCTGAGCCATGCTGTAAAGACATGCTCATCACCTCTTACAGATGTGCTACTGTCATGATGAAATCTGAAAGATGCACTGCATGGTGATGAGTGCAGTGGTCTTTTGCCAGGTGGCATCTTCTTCCCAGAGCACAGAAGGGGGAGGGAACGCAGAGCACTGGCTGGAGGAGGTAGCAAGAGCACACAACCAGTTTGCCTTGAACTATTTGGTCATTTTCTAAAAGACTTAGGAGAGGATTCAAGTGAGAGCAAGGCCAGCCAGGGAGACCCCATGCCATGCTGAAAGCAGGGCTGTCAGAGCAAGGAATGCCAAGCTCCCCACTCCTCTGCAGCAGCAGGCAGGCACCCCCTGCACACCATTACTCCTCCGTGTCGCTCACCTCTCGCCGTGCTGTCCCATTTTTAAGGATCAGCTGCAAGCGCAGGATTTCAGCAAGTTCCAGCCGCTGAAGAGCAAGCTGCTGGAGACGGTGGAGGACATGCTGGCCAACGACATCGCGCAGCTGATGGTGCTGGTGCGCCAGGAGGAGTCCCAGCGGCCGACGCAGATGGTGAAGGGAGGAGCCTTCGAGGGCACCCTGCACGGCCCCTTCGGCCACGGCTACGGCGAGGGCGCCGGCGAGGGCATCGACGACGCCGAGTGGGTGGTGGCCAGGGACAAGCCCATGTACGACGAGATCTTCTACACGCTCTCGCCCGTCGACGGCAAAATAACTGGCGCCAACGCCAAGAAGGAGATGGTAAGGTCCAAGCTGCCCAACACCGTGCTGGGCAAGATCTGGAAACTGGCTGACATCGACAAAGATGGCATGCTGGATGATGAGGAGTTTGCCTTGGCGAATCATCTCATTAAAGTCAAGTTGGAGGGTCATGAGCTGCCAAATGAGCTCCCTTCCCATCTCCTCCCTCCATCCAAGAGGAAAATAACAGAGTGAAAGGAAGGTTATAGGGGAGAGGGGAAGGGAAGGGGAAAATGAAAGATCTAGAACAACATGTTTACTTAAATTATACCTTTAGATGTGAGATCACGTTTGGATTTGTACCTACTTTGCTGTATGAAGAACAAAATCTAAAGCAGAACAAAAAAGTCCAATCCTTCATGATATGCAATTAACTCTTCCAGTGTACTGTCCCTGCTTTCTAATGTGTAGTCTGTAAATATGAAGGTAAAGGAAGGATGTTGCAAAGTAGGAGACTCTGTTAAGCGAGAGTAGAAGAAAACCTGAACAGGACTGCATTTTTGGAATAGGCACTAATAGAAATCTGCTAACTGCCAGTATCACTCCTGAGCTTTGGCTGCACCTTCTGCCTTTTTATGGGTCTTGCAAAATGCAGGAGACTAAGAGAAACCACAAGGTCTTCAAGCTATTGGCCAAAATAAAGAGCATTTCCTAATTAATATAAGCCCACACTAAAATACTAGATACTAAACCCCAGAGTTAAGAACTTTAGGAACCTTGATTCACCGTTAAGATGCAAGTTTTACAAACGTCCTTCCCCTGTCCTTATAGAAAAATACATCAATAAAATCTGAAAGAGCTCTGAACTGGGCAGCTGGAGTTCCTCGTTGTTCACTGCGGGGCAGGCACTCAGAGTTCCCAATCACCACCACCTCCCATTCAGTCCCCAGCGGAGATTTGTTCTGCAGCCAGGAGAGCCACACTCCAGGGGGAGCAAGGGAGGGGGCCCTAGAGGTGGGCATGAGGTGGGTGGAAGGGAGGAGCACTGCTTCCAGGCTCACCCAGCATGGCACAGCCACTGGGTCCTGTTTGCTCTTTGACCAGCGCTGGTGTCTGTGATCCCTGTGAAGTGATTCGTGTTTGCTCTCATCGTGCACAGTGACAGCCACGAGCCCCATCCTCACTGCACAGACACAAACCCCACACTGGATCCACCACAGGGGCAGAACACACAGGGGCACCGGCAGAGCTTGCTCTGCTCTGTGCCTCCACAAACCCAGCCAAGGTGTCAGCCTTCACACACTCACACTTGATCCCCTCCAGAACTTCTACCCTGAGCCAAGACACCTTCCCCACTTCTTTCATGCTCTATGAAATTTTTGTTTCCAAGACCTGATTTTAGCAGAATTGCCTCCATTTTCTGTTTCACTGCCTCAACACATACGTGCGCGCGCACTATTCTGGTTTTTGTTGTTGCTTTGGAGCAGCGTGTTGTTCCGATCCTGTTGTCACTTTATATAAGCTGAGCTCCTACTGTGATGAAAAACCAAGATAAGTATAACTTATTTTATATCTCTTGTGTTCATATTATATAGAGAAATATATTCTGTGTATGTAGGATGTGCTTATTGCAGTACATTTATCACTTGTCTTAAAAATTAATGCATTAACCTTTTTTGTACCCTGGTCCTAAGACATTATTAAAAAAGAAAGGCCAGATCTGTCTGCTTCTTTTTACAGTGAAATGAAATGCAGCTGAAAAGAAAAAAAAAAGCTTATTTGTAAGTGCAGCAAAGGGAGGAGATTATGCTTATGCACATTCCCAAAAGTGCATGTACAGATCAGCCCAGCTGGACTCGGGTGTGCACTGCTCAATGACTGGGTGACATCTGCAACATCTTTCTCTCTTGGCAGTCTAATCACAACCTCCATTCTTGCCAAAGCAAGAGGAATTGTACCTGTGATGCACCCTGTTCAATACAGGGGAGAGGTAACCACCACATTTCAGTAGGAAAAGGAATATATTGAAAGAGTTCCTTCCTGCCAGTCACAGATGAGAATGCTATGAATTTATCAAGATCTGAATGGATGCAAAAAACCTCAGTCTTAAATCTTATGGACTAATTCTATTTCTGTCTTTATTTTCTGTGGATGTTCATGACAGTGATAGCTATCCCCAGAGTGGGACAGTGGGAGGCATGGAGTAAGACAAGGAGATCACTTAGGATAGTCCTGGGAAAGCATCTGGAGAGAGGGTGTGAGCTGTAGGAGTTGGCAGAGTTTCCATTTAGCATCTGCACAGGATGAGAGAGGGGTGAGAGGAAATCATAGGGTGGGGAGCAAAAGAAATAAACGCAAATTGAGGGAAAAGCCAGAAAACTGTGTCATGCCAGCTCAGCTACCCAGTAACCCCCAGTTTGACTGCCATCACAGGACATTCCATGCTCCTGCCTGCTCCTCTCCTTCCTGTGCCAGCCTCTCCAGGATGTTCCTGCAGGATTCACCCAGAGGGGCCAGCAGGGCAGGGAGTGGCACAGAGAGCTCTGCCCACACAGGTCAGGTGCAGAGGGGTTCGATTGCAACACCCCTCAGGAACCACCTGGCACTGTCAGAGTGCAGCTTCCCCACTCGTGGTGGGGAGAGAGGAAAAAGCACCAGCACTGCACTCAGAAACACACTGTTACTTAATAGGATTGCACCAGGGACCTTGTTACAGAGGGAACAGGGCAGCTGCAGGGGGGCTGTGTGCCCAGAGAGGCAGCTTATGAACAGTCCTCTTCAGTCAGGTAACTTCATCTGACCAGCACATTTCACTTTTGCTAGGCTCTTCAGGAAATTTAAATAAAACAACATCAAACAAAAAGAATCCCACTAACACCAAAGAACCACATCAAACCTTACACACCCTGCTCTCCATATAGAAATGCATGGAATCCTGTCTCTCCACTATGGCCATGAGAAGGTGTGTGTATTTATCCATCCCCTTCTCAGACAGCAGCTGTAAATGCACACACACCCCCTTTTTCTTCCTTTTCCCTTCCGAGTCAGGACTCCCTGGGCAATCCCAGGCACCTGCATTGTTTCCCCCATCTGTGGAAGGATGTGATTTCCCAAGCCCAGCAGGACTCCAGGCAGTGCACGTTCCTGCCAGCTCACAGAGCCACACTCCAAGGAGTTATCTGTGTCCAGCAGGGCTTCCTTTTTCCCAGAGCACTTCTCAATTACCTAACAAGATTTCCCCAGGAGGTTACACAGAGGAACAGATTCATTTGCTGTCTGTGGGTGGGGGATTTCATCATGTGAACATACCAATGCCACTCACTTCTCTGATCCTCTCATGTCCTTCTCTACCCATCCTCACACAGAAGAGCTTTCACAAGGTCAGAAGAACAAAAACGCCTTTTCTTTTTTTTTCTTTTTTTTTTTTAACCCCTCTAAGTAGGAACTGCATTTGTTCTTCTCTCTGGGAAGGATCTAGAGCAGAAAAATCTGTACCTACAAGCTTTGTGGGCTAATATATGAGTTTTTTGAAAATTAAATTCTCTCTACAGTGGAATATGACAGGCAGATTATATCAACAGTGCTATACAACCATTTATTTGAAGGGAAGGATAATAATTACACTAAGTTCCCTGAATAAGGTTTCACAGGAGGTGAGAAGCTTGGCAAAAGGCAATTACTTCTGGGAGCTGGAATTTAGCCAGCATGCTGAAGTTCAGAGAGACTTTTAATCAAACAGAAAAGGTCAGAATCAGTTTTTCCATCACCTTAAGTTCCAACACAAACTTCATTCAACAATGAAATTCAGATTTAAGTCTGGAAACTGTTCTTTTAAGTTGCTCCCCTTAATCCTTTGCTCACTAACCAAAGGCTGCTGTCATATGGACAAAAGTCATTGGTTGTTTGACCTTACAGAGAGGGACAGTGTTCCTACAAGCACAGCTGGAACCACAGAAGCTCCTCTAGAGATCACCTCAGATCACACTACACTTCTTACACCATTGATAGTTTCCACCTCTGCTATTGTCTATCTCATATTTCTTTTATTATAGAGTTATTATAGAGAGAAGCTGTGGCTCCACATTCAGGCTTGGGTAAATCAGGGGACACAATTGACTATTTAAGCCCTTCTAGATGCAGAATTCCTCAAGTCTCAAAGCCTGACACATGGGTAGGAACACTCATGGAGAACAGCACTGAATTACTCCAGAGGAGCAGCTTGACTGGTAACATCCAAGTTATTTCTGTGGAGTTTTCATAACATAGCATAGCATCTATTACCTTCTGCTCTTTCCCTTTCCTTCCTCGTGCTTATGAGCCTTTCCCTCCTCTTCCTAGTCTGTCCAGGAGTGGGGGAAAAACAAGGCTTAGTTAACAAGGCTTAGTTTGGAATCTCAACACGCAAAGGAGTTCAAGGCTAGTGCAGGCAAGTCAATCCCTGCCTGGCTTTCCAGCTCCTCCAGGCACTGCTGATAGAGTGACAAATCCAGTGTTTAAAGCAGGCCTTGGAAACAATCCCTGGGTGCCTGAAGGGAGACAAATCCCTGCTGAGCACAGCACACGTCCTCCACAGCGTGCCCGTTCTGCCGAGCCCTTCGCTGTCAAACACCGCTCGAGTTGCTAGGTTTGAAATGGGCTCCCCTCCAGCTGCTGACGTGGGCTGTAAACAGCCATCAGTGAGGCCTCCTTGGTGCCTGCACAAGATGGGAACTGGGAGATATAAATATCCAACCCTTGGGTTGGGTTGCCCTCTCGCCCGGGCCGTTGTGCAAACCAAGGGCGCACGTGTGGAATTCCTCTCCTCACGATGAGTTCCCTGCAGGCAAATGCCAAATGCTGCTCTCTGAACAGCGCTCGCCCAGCACCCCACACATTTATCAGCAAGATGAGGCTCCCAGGAGCTCCTTATAAGGTGATGGCAGCACAGAGATCAGTAGGAAGCACAGCTCCCAGGGAAAGCTCTCCAGCCATTTTCCGACCTCCTTCAACCATCAGTTTTCAAGGCAGAGTTTCCACTTCCACTAAAGACAGTAGAAAGGTATCAAAATGAAGAGTTTGCTGCCTGTCTGCCCACCACATTTAAGCCATTCCCAACTGTTGGGAAAGATGAAAGTTGACAAGAAAGTCTCATAGATATGTGTGCTTAGCAGAAAGATTTTTAACTGTAGAGTTTGATGGAGAAATAGAGATGGAAGCAAGTTTTGATATAGAAGAAAAGAATTGCTGAGCCAGACTTACTGGATAACCAAGGAGGTAAAGGCTGTGTTAGCTAGAAAGGGTTTTTATGGCTTAGAGCAAAGGATAAACCCACCTCAAACAAGAAGATGTTTTTACCAAGCAGAAAGATAGCACAGGCAAACAAGTCAGCAAATGTTGCAAGTAGAAAAAAGGTCTCAGAATTTTCCACTGCAAGAAAACTGAAAAACAACTTCTAGCTTAAACTGTAATGTACTGACTTTTAGTGATTGAAGAATAGTAACATGAATATGGTAATTATAGTAGTTATGGTAGGCTATAGATAAAAGTTAAGCTATAGATTGGTTCTACTGTATTAAGATGCTCAGCAAAGGAAAGTCTGTAATGCACTGTAACCTAAACTCAGGGTCTCCAGGCCTACCTGCAGCTGGAGCTGACAGCTGTAGGCACAGCTCTGTTACCCACCTCCCTGGGCTGCTGTAACCTCTTGGATGGAATAAACTGCATTTTGGAGAGCCCCTGGAGTCCTGCATCTCTCATTCAGGTTCTTACGCACAACAGACTAGAAGGAATTCCCTGCATCCTCCCATCTTTAAAGCTTCCATGTCCCACAGCACAGGCCTCTCCAGTTGTATCAGAGGTGCAGTGTAGCTGCACTCCAAGCTGGCAG